TGAGGTTCTGGACAAAAAGGCTAAAAAGTCCAAACAATGAGATGGGTGAAATAGCATCCTTAGATATAATTGTAATAATTAAAAATATAATGCAATGGTTCACAATTTAGAAGAAGAAAAAAATCTAAATAACTCAGTTTATTAGGATCAAAGCCTGAAATCTAGAGTTTCAGATATGGCAGTAGTTTGACCATATGGATATATTATGGAATGCAAAATGTTAGATTTCCCTATGTGAATACCATTATCATCACAGGGTGTTTCCATGTCAAGTGTTCAATAACCAGAATTAACATTCTGAAGGCAGCCTTGAAAATATAATCAGCGCCTACTGAGTAATCAGATCAGTTTGTGCTCAATTTTATTTAAAATTGTTGAGTTGGTAAGGCAGATAGCAGTGCTTCTTCATAGCTCCTGCGTGATCATGGGTTTGAATGTGGATTGGGGATAGCTTCTGTAAGGAGTTAGCAAGTTTATTTATTTTCTGCAAGTGCTTATTTTGAACTTGAACTTTGAACTTGTTTGCCATATGTAACCGGTACATGCACTGGTACAATGGAATTCTTACTTACAGAAAGTATCTTGATTGTTAAAAAAAGGTGTAAAAAAGTGCAGACAGTGCATCAAGACAATATACAAACAGTAGACAATGTACAAGTAAACAAGTAAACAGTTCGAATGTAAACAATGCAGACGTGTAAACAATGACTGGAGATGTACAATAAATACAATTACAGTACAATGAGGTAGATGGTGTAGGTTTGGTCTGAGGAGCATGGCTAAATGTGTTCGCCAATCGCACTGCTTGTGGGTAGAAGCTAATGAGGAATCTGGTGGTCAGTGTCCGTATGCTCTTGTATCTCTTGCCTGAGGGCAGTGGGGTGAAGAGCTCATGCCCGGGGTGGTGACTGTCCTCTATGATGGCCAGAATTCTACCACTGCAGTGGTCCTCATAGAGCTGTTTAACCTCGGTGAGACCACAGCCGATGATCTTCTAGGCCATATTGACCATTCCCTGCATTGCCTTTCTTTCTCGAGAAGAGGTGTTGCCGTACCACATGGTGTTCCAGTTGGGGAGGATGCTCTCAATGGCGCAGCGGTAGAAGTTCAACAAGAAGCACCAAGAATTAGACAGGCTAATTCTATTCATTATGATCTCTAAATGGTGCCTGTGAGCTTGTGTGTGTGCGCCCTGAGTGTAACTGGGCTACAGAAATCCACATCGGGGAAAAAATGACTTTCTGATAAAGAATAGTTGAATTAAATCAGTGCTTAATTTACTAATTACTCTTGATAACAAACAGTAGGTTAAACAAATTCAGGTTAGTATATCTATGTCTTGAACATGTGTAAGTGATTGCTCTCTTTTCCCGAATTCAAGTGGAACAAATACTGTAACTTATTTTGCTGAAAGTATGACTACCGATAATATTTCTACCTGCTAGTGTCACCTGCTCTGTCACAGTAGTTCTATGATCTTAAGGCAGCGCTACTCATAAAGTAGCACCACTGGATGGCGCTAGTGCATCTTATTTTGCTTGTTTCTAATAAACGGCGGTTAATAAACGCAAATTAGAGACGCATGTGTACTCAGTTAAATTGGATTATCGGCGAGCAGAACGGTAATAAACTTTATAAATCAGGATTAATCCCCCATGTCTAAGTATCGACACCTTAATATATTGTATA